GGTCACACTCTTGGTGCTCCTTCTCGTCCCTTGCAGCAGCCACCGCACTTCTAGTGTCTACCCTTTCCGCTCTGCCAGCAACCGCACTACGTCATCATCAACAAATATAGCCCCCCCTCGTCCCTCCAAGCCGCTTTGTTTGTACACACGACTCTCCCTCACCCCATCCAACCTCCACCTCCCATTTGCTGGCAGTATCACGCGCACAGCACTTCTGCCTGAAGCAACCCCTCCATTGCCCCCCGTCGCTCCCCCGCATTCAGTTAGCCATGCCCCGCCCTCAAGATGCTCCTCCGCAAAACCTCTCCACCTCCCAACTCCCGACCACTTCTCTTTCGAACGAAATCAGCAACGCTCACTCCCGCCGCCCTGAACCCCACCACCACCGATTCCTCTTCAAAACCCCCTCCACATTCCGGCGCCCCCTCTGCCCCCTTCCCCTCCCCAGCCCAAAGCCCGAACCCCAGCCCGCCCCCCCAGACCCCGCCCCCTCACCTGCCACGGGGTGGTCCAGGGCCTCATGGTCACAAAACCGCAGCAGCCGCGCAAACTCAGAGCGGTAAGCCGCAAACCACGGCGTCAGCGCGTCAGGCGGCTCTGTGTCTCGGCGAGAGGCGGCCGGATGGGGAGGAGAGGGGGGTTGAGGCGAAGGGCCGCCGGCCCCTCCTCTCCAGAAAGGCCGGGCAGCAGCACGCAGCGCGAATGTGCACGGATGCATCCCTCCCTGCGGCTGCCTCTTGCTGCGGTCACTCCAAGGGTCCGCTCCGAGGGAACGGCCCCGCAGCAACAGTGGGATGGCGGGAAGGGGCGGGGCGCAGGCGCTCACCCGTGCGAGCGGCGCGGTCGACGTCCGCCACAGGCTGCAGGCTGGCGTGCTGCTGGGCGGCTGCTGTCAGGACGCCCTTCAGGTGCTCATCGATCACCTGTGGCAGGGGACCACAAGGTTCATTAGCAGGGGCGGAGCGCTCAACGGAGGGGCGTCGAGTTGCAGAAGTTAAGGACGTCTCCGAGCAGGTTGCAGGCTTAGATCGTCATTGCGCCTTTGACCCGCTGCTGAGACCGGCGCGCAGCAGTATTGCCACAGGGGGGTGCACCATGCACCAGAGGACACGTACTGGCCAAGGCATCGCCGCCGCTGCGCCAAAGTACGTGGAAAATAGGTCGTGCCAGCTGCGCTTGCCGCACGCCGCGGACGCCTGGCCTGGCCGCGCGCCGGCCGGCCCCCAGGCGTGGCCGTGCGTACCTCGGGGGTGGGCTGGTAGGCGCTAGTGTACGGCACCAGGCGCAGCTGCAGCTCGTTCACGCGGGAGCTGAACTCCCCCACACGGATGGGGACTGCGCGCGCCGGCGTGCGCAGAGCTTAGACAGGACGAGGGGCCGAGCGGCGCCGCATGGCCAAGGAGCGGCACCCGAATCTGCACATGCAGCTTGGTTTGTCCTATTCGAGTCCTCAGCCTGGGGTTCCTCTTCAGCTGACTGGCCTGCCGCTTGCGAATCTGCTGCAGGCCGCCTGCCCGCCACACGCCCCGCCACATGCCCCGCCGCCGGCCCGACGCCGGCCCCGCGAGCGCGCACCGTTCATCCCAGCGATGCGAGCCTGGGGGCGCAGGAAGTCGACAATGCTGAGGCCGTTGTTCGCGGCCAGGATCGCCTCGGCCGCCGGGGTGCCTGCCACCAGCACCACGGGCGCCAGGCGCTCCTCAATTTGCGCGCGCACCGCCTCCATGACAACTGGTGCCGCTCAGCCAGCGGCGTGCAGGCGCACTTTGCGAGAGCGCTGCTTCCCCGTGCTCTGCTGCCGCAGCCCGCTCAGCTGCACGCCATGCTGAGCTGCATCTGACTCACATATATACAATAGGCTTTTGAGAGATCGCTTGGTTACTCTTTGTTGTGCACACGGGCTCGGCTGCGAGATCAGTGCAACTGCAGCGATCAGCCCAGGACCTTGGTTTTATATAGACTAGAAACTGCGTCGTGCATCTGATTGCATACCGCTGCTTACGGCTGATACAGACATGTGATGCGAAAGAATGGGTTGCGGCCAGCAGAGCACTGGTGACTGCACATGCCCATGGCTGACTGCACATGCCCGTGGCACCAGAAGGGGGGGTCGCTGTTGCCAACCTTGCTTGTCTCCACAAAGCTGATCAGCCAACGTGTCTGGACTGTGGTGCGTCATCAACTGGCGGGGGGCTGTTCGTTGTCACTGCTTGCCTGGTTTTCAAAAGTTCATGCATCATGCACACAGTTGAGGCCTAGCGGTCTGTACAGCCACAGACCAGCGAAACAGGTCACCAGCCCCCATGCAAACGAAGTTGTCATATCGTGACAAGTCATTCATCAGTAGAGATTACTGCATGACAAGCCTTGTCTCCTCCACATGGTGCGCAGACTCTTGGCAATTCTAACGTGGAGGGCGGCTCTTCGCCCATGACTGACTGACTGGCCCCACAGGTATCGTGGGTGAGCCTGGAGCCAAGGTGGTCCCAGCGCCGTTGTAAGACCACGCTGATATGACATTCTTCAGATGACACAATGCACCTGCTGTTTGGCACAGCCCGAATGCGTGCAGAACTTCAGAGAATGGGCGTGCGTTTTGTTGCCTCCCTGCCAACGGCGTGGGTGATCAATACCAGGACGATGGTTGAGTGACGACAACCGCAAAAATGCGTGTAGCTGTATGTGCTGCTCAGGGTTGCGACTGCCGCTGGCCGCTGTGTCTACTCAACATGTCCCCTCCAATTTTCCAGGGTTCCGAACCGCCGAGGGCGCAGACACGGAGGAGCAACACGTACTGCATTGTCGCGCTCAGCGGCGAGAGCGCAAGCGAGGCTTCCTCGGTCTGTGAGGGTGTCGCCGAACTATTGCACGTTTGTGATGTACAGTGTCTGTCCAAAGCTGCTGGCACCTGATGCCAACACCAAGATTGCCGTGTCCAGCACTCCCCTGAGATGGCGTGAGTGGATTCGGTCCTTTCTCTTTGCCCCTTGCTGGCCCAGCCTTCGCTGACGACACGTTGCCTTCCACCCGCCGCGGGCAAGCCAGGCAGATACTGCAAGGTTGAAAGGCGCACACAGGCGCACATGCCGCGAGCCCTGTGTCGTGTCCCTGTCTCTTGAACCCAAAGCCAACTTGCGCTTCCCACCGGTGGCGGGCAACGGCAGCCAAGCAGCTGGCGTTTGTGTGATTGTGCTGCTTCCCCTGCCTGTGATCCCCTTTTATGCAGACGTGTTGCTTCGCCAACAACTTGTCCACCTGTCTGCCTTCAGAATGCTGCCGGTTGCCTGCTGCCCAACCCAACTCGACCACATGCGGTCTGGGTGTGCCCGACTTTGTTCGCAAAACTGAGGCCTGGTTGACCACAAGCCAACACACATGTACCTTTCATGACTACGACTCCAAGGTAGTTGAGGTATACTTCTATTTCATGCATTGACACTGCGGCCGTGCAACCAACCTTTTGGAAGCAGCAACTTGGCAGCAAAAGTCAAACCGTGCCCACTGCAAGTGATGACTAAGCAGCACAGTGGCCCACGTCAGCCCCCTGTGGCGTGAGCAGAAGTCGCGTACTGTACCGTATGCACAATCAACATTCCGCCACGCTTGAGGGTGCATGCTGATTGTCGTCTGTCCGGTGTTCGGCAGCGGGACGCATCAGCAACGTTCGAAGCACCTCCTTGCAGGATCGATCTCACACCGCGCAGGCAGGCTCGGGATCATTAACAGCAGAACCAGCAGCCATGCCCGTCAGACGGAATGTGGCAGTACTGCTCATTGCACTAGCAGCGTCCGCGGGAGCAGCAGGCGATGTACTGGACCGACCAGTCATGCATCGAACGCTGCTTGATGCGGGATACAAAGGTAGGTTGTTTGGATTTAGCACAGGCTAAGGCGGCTTGCTGCTTGACTTGGGTCCAGAATGGCGGGGTCAGCTGGGCGGCGCAGCCTGCACGCGGACATTTCGGCGCACCCGCACCCTCTACGAAAATCAAGCTGTGGCAAGGGCTGGCATAAGCATGGCGTAATTACGCTAATGCCACATGGTCAAGCGCTTCAGCCCGATCGCGGCCCGCATGGCACCACGCTGGCACCCGTGTCACGGTTTGTTGTTGCTCGCCCCCGCCCCCATCCAGTGAATGACGAGGTGCCGCTGTGGGCGGCAAAGACGGGGCCTTTCACAAACCCCAGCATGACTTTTGAATACTACATGCTGCCCTATTGCAAGCCCGCGGGCGGCGTCAAGTGGAAGACCCTCGGCATGGGCGAGGTGTGGCGGCCGCACGCCCGCGACGCAACCACCCCTTGTCTCGGGCGCAGCGGCGCAACACACAATGTCAAACCTTGGAGAGCAGCGTGCGCGGCGCGGCTTATGAGCACATGCTGAAGTTGACTGCCTGGCTCATGCCGCCCAACAATCAGCAGCGAGGCCCGCTCCGGCGAATGCGCCGCCGCCAAAGGTGCTGCCTGCGCCGCCTCCAGATCCTCGCACCCCGGCCCGCCCGCCGGCCCCCCCATATAACCCTTCAAAGGTTGTCGACGCCAATCGCATGGCGTCCACGCCCTACGACCTGGCGTTCCGCGTGGAGCGCACCAACCAGCGGGTTTGCAAGAAGGAGCTCAGCAAGGAGGACGCCCAGAAGTTCAGAGACGTGAGGGCGCGCGCTGGGCTGTGTTCTGCTGAACCCACGCACAGGGCTTTCGCCCCTGCGATGCCGCGATGCGCGAGGGGCTCGGCCGTGGCCAGGAATCTTTCATTGTTCCGCATGTCAGGGCAAGAGACGCAAATGAGGGCAGCAGGCGAGCGGCCTGACAAAGCAATCGGCCGGGCCCGCTGTCAGTGGCACCCCCCAAAGGCCAAGCGCCAGGCGGCCATGGCACCACCTGCAGCAAGGCGACGCAGGTTGAGCGGCAGCAGAGGCGGCCGGGCTTATCTCAAGCACCAAATTGTCAGTCCAGCCGCTTTAGCAGCCTTTGGTCTCTCCAGCATGTTCCTGCTGCCTGAGCATTCGGCACTTTTTCAATGACCGACTCGATCGCGCCTGTGTGCACCTCGACACTGCACACTGCAACCCCATTGTGATTCAGGCGGTGCGTGATGACTGGTACTTCCAAATGTACTTTGATGACTTGCCAGTGTGGGGCTTTGTGGGCAAGGTTGAGAAAATCATACCCAATCAGGTGGGCCGCGAGTTAGGTGGCGTCATCAGCGTCGGGGTCGGGCGTGTCGGGCGACAGGCGGGGTCAACCGATGTGGCGCCACGCGCCGACCATAGAACAGATTCCCAGGGGCTGAACACTTGTCGGTTGACTGCGACAGTATGAGTAACCACTCTCCTACCTGATCCGGCACCACTTTTGTGCCCCTCAATTC